AAACGTTGTGTTCTCTTTCTTCTTTTTTTCAGCATGGAATAAACCTATTACTTGTTCCTTTGCAGCCTACGCATGCTGACGCAGCTACCCACCTGAACTATATATATGTTAACTGCTACTTCAAAATTCCATTACCATAAGCTTTAAAACAATTAAATGTGAAACATAATGTGAAAAGAGGGAATACTTTTTTTCAAGGCATTGTAAAGTTTAAGTCAGACTAAACCATTTGCTGTTCATAAACTGCACAGCCTGCACAGTTAGCACAGAGGGTCAACATAGACGATAGGTTAAAAATCTTAACTTACAAAAATAGAGAAAGGAAATAGGATAAGAAATTGCACGAGAACACCTCTTTCAACAGACAAAGAAAACACAATCTGTCTGGGTAATTTAAGGACTAAGAGGATGGAACTTAGGAAAGGGGCTTGTTGTCTTATTTTTGTGGAACTCTAAATTCCTACTTGTGTTTTCATTCAGGCTAAAAGATACTGTATCCCTAATAGTTTATTCATTTTGTTCTGCAAGGGTAAACATGTACCCTGACAGTCGCCAATATCAAAAAGGGGGAATTAACAAACCGTAGAAGCAGAAAAAACAATTTCTATGTTGTCTTCATGTCATGCATGAGTCAGAACGCGTAGCTCTCTGTTTCCTTGAAAACTGAGTGCATTCCTATGAGGAGCCACTTTTCTCCCTGGTTAATTCGGACCCACTCCTAGCCTACCTCGTGCAATTAACAGAAGTTTTAATTATCAAGCCATACCATGTGAACCCTGTTTGCTGCTGTTCCAGCACTCTTCACAAGCTGCTACATCACAAGGAAGGTACGCTCAGCAGTACTAACCTGCATTAGTAGTTAACCTTTCCTAACCTAGTTCTCTAGCAGTTCCCCACACTAAAATGCAGTCTCTCAATCTATTCCTGCCTGAAGACTGTGCTCGCTTTCAGATCAGTTCTGATCACAAATGCCATTTCCCTTTCTCAATCTTCATTATTCTCCATCCTCCACCCATCTACAGCGGCTTTGAACTCCACCAACCTCGGTTCTCTCCACATCGTCTGAAATTCATGAGCTCTTACTCCTGGATTCCCAGCCTGTCAGCAAGACATGGCTGTCACTTCCAGCTAGCCTCCGACTGCTGGCTTACCTTTTCACTTTTTAGCAAAGCCCCTATCTGGTACAAAATGTTTTTTAAATAAAAAAGCAAAAGAGGTCAGTATGTAGCGGAGCTAGTTCGGATACGGTGACGTCAGCACCCTCACTGCGCGTAGCAGGGACCTCAGCTGCCTGGGCTGAGGGAGGCCTCCTTTATCTCATGCGGCTGGTTCCCTGTTGCATTAGACCGGAGACCCGGGTTCGTGCCCAGGTGCTGCGGGATGGAATGGTGTGGCGGAGGGCAGGAGCCCATGCGGAACCATGACGATCACAAGTACAAGTAGCAGAAGGCTCCACGGCCGAAACGTTGTTTTCTTTCTTCTCGTTTCAGCATGGAATAAACCTATTACTTGTTCCTTTGCAGCCTACACATGCTGACGCAGCTACCCACCTGTTTTTCAGACATGCCACTGTACCAAAAATATAATGAATATTTTGACATGTCAAAGAAATGTTTGAATTGACTGTATGTAGAAAGAAATAAAATAGCCTTTGTTCCAAATACTCATGATTTCCACCAACATTCTGTTTAAAGTTTAAGTAAAATGATTACTGTGCTCACCTTACTTCCTGTGCAATTCCTCTTTGGTTATTTACTATATACCTAAACACTTTCTTTACTGTAATTCTATTAAACTGACTTTCTGAATGATTAAAGCACTAAGGCTAGTATGTGAAATTACAGTATGTAAAATTATTCAGAGGCATAAATATGAGCATAACGCTATATTTAAAAATCTATATTGAAGCATATAGGATGGGGAAATAGTTTAGCCAGTTCGATTGCAGAATGAACTATATTTTATAGTTCTAATTTGAGTTTAGCACACAAATATGAACAACAAAATATGAAACAGGATGGCACAAAAATCCCAAACACTTTAAATGTATGAAGGATTTCTCTAGTTAATATCCCGGAGTTTAACAAACAATATGTATTACAAAAGACAAGGAATTTTTATTTCTTATTTTATGTCTTGTTTCCTCTCCAGTTGTTAATTTTAAATGGTTCCTTAAGCAATATTTACTTTACTTCTGTAGAATATAAAAGAAACATTTTGTGGGGTAGATCATTTTTTTCATTATATGTTAAATCATTCTTTTTCCTTTCATTTTTGTTTATTGTGCTTGAAGACAGTCATATAACTGCTCAAAAACAAATTTCCTCAATATTTACCTGCTATATTTGAAAAGAAAAATCACCTAATGATGATACTGATCAGGTAATGTGACGGAAAATAGTTAATATTCTTAAAGAATAAATTAAAACATGACATGTATTTTCTTTTTATTTTTGATGTTAATGAAATAAGTACATATTTTGAAAAATAGTCACCAAATGGCTTTACACTTCATTGTGCTTGGTAGAGTACGGCAAATATGTAAACCATTTTATTACAGGAGACATTGGAACAGGTAAACACATCTTTACAATAAACACATCAGACTTAAACAGACTGACAAATGTTTGCAAGATGAAGGAGACATAGGCTGATAATCCAAAATGAAGCACAAGTATGCCACTATGACTAATATCAATGAAGAAACGTTACACTTAAGAATCTGACCATAGACTTAAAACCATATGACACACACCTCTGTACATCAAGATTCTGTATGCATAATTCTACCCTTTTTTCCATGTAGAGTACTGTATGAAGAGCAGCTGGCCCATTTTGTAATTCAAATGCTTTATTAACTAGAAAAATAAGCTGTCAAGGGAAGAAAATGAAGTTACAATGTTAAATTTTACAATGACGTTGAGAGATAACCACTTGGCTTTATATGAAAGCATATTATATTTGTTCTGCAAGAAGAACCTGTCAATGTATACATTTGTTATTCTCTCTACTGTATCAGAAAAAACAACAACAAATGGTTTATTCTGCTTGATAAAAAAAAGTTGTTTAACTGTATTTAACATATTATTCTAAATGAATCATTGGAAATTACCAGAACATAATAAAATATTACTGTTCTTTATTGGGTTAATCTAAGGAGAGGTCAGATCATATCTAGCTTAGCTGATTGGATGCACACTGTCAAATGTCTGGAGACCACCACCACTCCACCGTGCTAAATCACTGCCTTAGTGGTCAGATTGTTTCAGCCACTGGACTCAAAACTAATTTAAATTTTCTGTCTTATAGTTTTGTATAGAACACTTGTGACCTGCATGATTGGACATTTGCACTGGTTTTCTCTTCTGTTTTTGTTCAACATTCATTCATTGAACTTTTTTTATTATTTGTTTCATTTTTTTTATGTGATTGGAGGGCACAATTTAAATAGTTATTTTTCCAATTCCGAAAAAATAAAGCAAACCAAAAAATGGTGGTGACTTGAACTCCTAAAGATTGTTCCAGGAATGTAGCAGTACAATACACAGTGACACTTCATCTTTCATTGCCCTGCTCACCTTGCACTTTCAGTCATCAGTCAGCTCTGAATTATTTACAGTCTGTACACCAGAGTTACTCACACTTTAAGTCAAGGAAAGGTCTCGGAGGCATTGTTGCAAAAAAATATATATATTGACAGTCTTCTCCTTCCTTGGAAAATATCTAAGGCTCATCTGATTCTGTTATAAACTTGATTAAGTAAATCAAATTTATATATATATTAATTAAACTTACTTGATGTTTAATTTCAATTGCAGTTTTTAGAACCATCTCATTACTACATTGCTGTTGTTTGCTCTTTTTTAATATTAAATATCTATTAATGCAATACACAGGAATGCAAGGAAAGCATACTGTACTATAATTCAAACTGCCCAAACCATCCAACTAACAAATCAGCAGTGACAATGTTAGGTTTGAGACATCAGTGTAAACATCCATACATTTTCCATACATTTTCCAATTCAGAATGGGAGAGCCAGAGCCTGTCCTGGCCAGCAAGAGCTGAAAGGCAGGGTACATTCCTGTATGGGACACCAGCCCATTGCAGGACAGACACATAGAGACAAGCACAGTCACGCACACATACACACACACCAGGGCCGATTTTCCAACCAGTATGTTTTTGGACTGTGGGAGGAAACCAGAGTATCTGGAGAAACCATTGTGAGCATGGAGAGAACATAATTACACCCAGGGTCTCAGCGCTGTTGAGCAACAATGCTAACCAATGTTTCGCCCCTGTTTTGCCCATTCAATGTAAACATATATCTTCATAAATAGTTAGTTCTTTAAGAGCAACTCCAATGATGGAGTTTCTACTGTGAATACCATACAGCAATAATGGGCAAAACAATATACAAAACAAATGCTCAATAAGGGCATTAGGGAAATCATTGGACATTCAAACTTCCTATTTATTACTACCAAGTCTTAACAAAAAAACAAAACAAAAATGTCATAATATTTGCACATCTAAATTTGCAAAATTGTTCTGCTACATCGTTGCTGAAACAACTGAAGCACCACCTTCTTGACTTTCTTACAAAGTGCAACACACTTCATACTGAGTCCAGAGAAAGATAATTTCAATCCGCCTCTCTGACCAGGAAATTTGAAGTTTGGCAAAAGCAGTGGCAGCCCCTAGCGGCAGAAACGGGAGGCATAACCTCTAGAACATTTGACAGCGCCTCATGTGAGCCGTCAGGCTACCAGCCTTCTTGTGTCAGAATCATGGAAGGCAATACAAACAAATTAACCAAATGTTACATTACAGTATTGCACATTGGCCTTCATAAAGAAAATGGAATACCAGTGTGGTTCCACAGGAAAATAAATCCAGACAAAAAAAAAACACAGTACAATCTGCGAGGATCAGAGCATCTCATGAAGGGATTTCTGGCATTTGGACAATATTTAAAAGCTGAATGAGAAACCGGACATCCCCCTGAAAGATCACTATTGTCATTTTGCTGTTATCCCATGTTTAAATCCACGTGTCTTCCCATGGCTCACATTGCCAGGTACTTGCATTTATCTGTCACTGACTTTTTGTCTCCTTTTCCTAGCCCTGCCACTGTCATCTCATGGTTTGCTCCATTCCCAATAGGTTTGGATCATCTGTAATGTTCACTCAGCCTCATTATAGCAGTCTTCTTATAAGTACATTGTATATTTATTTTATTTTTTTCTTACAACCCCCCCCCCAACTGATTTCATCTGGTATATTCTGATTGGATACATTTTGCAATTATCTTTGTCAAACTGGGTGGAAACTTAGTGTTCATTTTACTTAAATAGCCAAATGAAAGGACAAAGAGCACAATGTTAACTGACCTTTAAGAAACATCTCAACATTATTGCAAAAACTGTTAATGTCATTAGCTCTGACCTTATTTAATTTATTAAGGCATGTTTCACTGAGGCGGCACAGAAGAAAATGCAGCCATATGGTCTTAATTGTTTACAAAGGGTAAAGGAAAGCGCTTATCTTAACATTGAACGTAATACAGTAAAAATTACAATGTTCAGTCTATTTAATTCCACAGTGAACTTAATCTTTTTACAAGGAAATTCTGTTACTCCACCTTTGATGACAAAAACAGACAAACAGACAAATTCAAATGATATGCTGAATTCAACTTTTTACATACAACACCAGGCCACTTGTTACCAAGAGGGACACTAGAAAAGCAATCTAATGGAACACTTTTCCAGATTCTTGTTGATTAATTACATTTGAGGTTCTTTGATCTCAGTGTGTATTAATCAGAAGAAATTATAGCTGTCAAAGGAAGGTTGACATTAGTCATATAGAATGGTAAAGACTGTATAAAAAATGGAACGAAAAAATGAAACGTGCCATAAAACGGGGGGATTTTGGTTTTGTTCACTGACCGAGTCACTGTAGGCCATTTCAAAAGTTCTGCAAACAAAGCTAATTTTTTTACTTCTTTTTTTTCCACCATTATTTTTTTGGGCTTACCAGAATTTTCTTTTACCTAAAGACCAATCTACCTTTTCAAGCTTTTGACACTTACTGTTTTCAATATGAAGAGGTACTTCATTATATAGATAATATTTATTAGAAAAAATGTGACATACTGTCTTTCCTTTCCAAGAACTGTAATCAATTGATTCCACTCACATTTTATTTCAGCCTACGTCTGTTGTTCACTAGTGAACAGCTCTGCCTCCCATACATTTAAACAGGAATTAATTATTGTACACGTACACTGCTTTTTTAGTTGCCCTCATACTTGCATATAATGATAGAGATCCGACCCTCACAGTGTTCTTGAAGCCAAATGTGTCTTTGAATAGTTTTATTATGTTCTACACTCTCTTTAAAATAAGATGGGCTCTCATTTGGCTGAAATATACAGATACTCTGTATATAGATATACTATACTCTGAAGTGTATAGGTTAAACAAAGCAGCACGATGTCTTTTGGATGGCTCTGGCCACTACCATACACATCTAAGGAGACCACGAAGGCTTACACACCTCTGCAGGTTTAAAAGGAATATATTCTTAAGGCTAAGTACCAGGCATCCTAAAATGTGGGATTAACCTGAGGAACTGGGTTTTTAGAGTAACTTTCCTCTTCATTCTGCAGCAGCTGGCAAGGCCTGTGCTTACAAAGAACGTGATGATCAAAAGGAGAAATATTTCACAGTTTACAGGAATAGCGCAGTGGGCACAGTCTAAATATTTCCAGTAAAAAACGTTTGCTCTTTTTCCCCCATTTTTAAAAAAGAAGGCATGCACAGAGAAACTGTATTAGAGCTGTCTGCAGGCATTCTTCCCCTGTGAATGCTACTTCTAAGGCAAATGGCTTTGAAATTAGCTTTTGCTTTTGCAGATGGTGGGGCTGTCTGATGGTCCAAGCATATTGTTGTTACAGGTATGTCCATCTTGCACTTTTCCTGGAGTTGGGGTAGATGTGTCACACTCACTGCTGCTGTCCTGCCCACTTTTACCATGTTTTCTCAACCTGAAAGAAAGACATGTGGCTGGTTTAGTGTCACACATCACAATATCTCTCCCACCCTTCCTTTTCAACTGTGGCTCCCCAGCAGGTTGTAAGGTTATCTTGTTTTGGTATCCACCCGCAATTACAGTATACTTTATTAAACTGTGTGACTGGTGGAGATGAAAACTGAGAACTTCTTCCAAAGTTTTTTTTTTCATTCCATGTTTTATCAGAACCTAAAAACTCTACAGTACATGAATGTAAATTAAAACTTATTAGTGATATTCCAAGAGTTACTTAATTTTCTGAAGAATCATATGCAGATGCTACCTATACCATTGGCTGAATCAAACCAACAATAAAAAACATTGGCAATGGCATCAAAATTATTATTTTTTCCGATGGTATGACTTAAAATTGGAATTGTTATCTTATGTTTGCTTTTTAGCTTCAAGTGCCAAAATGGCAGCAGTGTGATAACTTTAAACGCTGGAGAGCAGTGCCACGTGGGATGTCCTGCACTGAAATATTTCCTGAACACCTTCACCTTTGCAGATATTCCATCTGTGCTGGAATTCATCATCCTCAGCTTTTCTGGTAAGTTGGATCATTCTGGTAAAATGTGAATAACCTTCACCTCTGGATTTAAAATGGGGATCTGCTTCTCATTCCATTCAACCAAATGTTTTGGCTAAACTATTTTCTAGGCACTTTCAGTTAAGCACATTTTCCAAAATCACATTTAACTACACATAATTCACAGACCACCTTTGGTACAGTAAATAGACACATTAATACGAGGGTTCTGAATGTTAACAAGAACATACTGTACATCAGTTTTAAAACAATGTCAAATTTACTTTCATTTGAACCCTTTCATTATTTTTGACTTTGTTACTTGCATTGTGTAAACAAATAAATATGGAAGAAGGCTTTGTGTCTAATTGAGTGACTATTAGTAACATGACAGCCTTTATGACAATGATATCTACTGCACATCATTTGAACTGACTTTGCAATTTGTTGTGGTAAAAACAAATTGGGTCAAATGATCACCTGTGCACATACTCTTTCAATATGCTTACCTGTCTAAGTTTTTTTTTTCAGACCACAAATTCCACAGTGCTTTGTAAGAGAGTTAGCACTGATCCACGGAGGGGTGCATCCCCACTGATGTCCCTACAAGTTTGCTAGTTCCCAGAAAATCCCAGGAGTCCTACAGGAGTAACCTGTCTGACTTGAATATCTATCTCACTCAACCCTGGTGGCAGTTGATCAGTTGTGGACCTCTGCTTGGGCAATCCCAGTCAGAGTCTGCCACAAATACAGTCTGGATCAAGGCTGACGTCTGAGCTATAGGGCTTCACCTGAGCTATGAGCAAGCATGGTTACCTGAAGCCCCTAGGAGTTACTGTTTTAACACCTGAAGAAGGCTCCTTGGCCGAAACGTTGTGTTTTCTTTCCTCTTTTTGTCAGCATGTAATAAACCTATTACTTGTTCCTTTGCAGCCTACGCATGCTGATGCAGCAACCCACCTGAGTTACTGTTTTAAGACTTGAATGACAAAATTATGAACAGTTAAAAATTGATAAAAATAAAATAAAAAAATTGATTAAAAACTGAAATTGTTATAGAAATACATGTATGCTTGTATTCTGAAGAAAAAAATCTCTGGTCATATTTATAGCCAGAAAATCAATCAAGATTTTCACACAGACATGTTCCTTAAACCAGTATTATGGCAATATGTGTAAAAGGAACATAAAAGCTTTGTTGTTATACATAACACCTATGAATGTATTTTATTTTATTTGAAGTTACAGAACTTATTTTTTATTAATTTAGCTTTTTTTAATTTGGTGTAATTCAGCTACACCATGATACAAAACACATTAAAATGAAATCAACAGTCGAGAATTCAGGTCTTAGTCTTCAGTTATTATTCTCAAGTTTGGTTTTAAATGTTAAGGAAACTTTTAGGGTTTTCAGGTTTAATTTGCTGAAATTTTACACTACAGCATCTATTTGATATATAAATGATAATTTCACAGAGTTAACAGGAAAAAGACAATCATCTGTAGCATGTACATTGATATTTTACTGAACAGACATGGCATACTGTACGTAAGTTTATTTTTAGTACAGTATGTTGTTTAATATTTGTCATGAAAGAACTGATCAACAGAGGATTTACTGTGAAAGTCACAGAGTTACAGTTCTGTGAACAATACAAGCTGTACATTACATCTGTGATGCATGTACCAGGTTGCAGATGCTTTCTTGATGGATTCTGTCCCATTCCTGTCAGCGAACAGGCAGTTAAAGAGCCTGTATAGGATGATGTCTAGCCCTTGATGCTTCATATAATCCCAGCTCCTCCCACAAATGTTCAATAAGTCCAGGGAGAATGGTATAATTGTCACATCTCATTCTGCCAAAGACTGTTGTATAAATGGCTTTTATGGGATAGCTGATGGTTACTGAAACACTTCTTTTACAAAAGAGAACAATGTACTTTGTAATTATGTACAGTACAGTGCCCTGCACAACTGCAAATATTGTTGTGTTACAGCCATAAATTGTAAAGCATTGAAAATATTTTTTCCCCTTGAATCACACAAGATATGCAACAATTGAATGGGGCAAAAATATTTTTATGAAACAAAAATGTGTGAAGAACGAAAAACTGAAATATCCTGTGTACTGTAACATTCACCCTCCTGAGTCCATACTTTGTTGAAGCACCTTTTGAAGCAATTACAGCTTCATGTGTTCTTGGGTATGTTGGGTAATGTTACAGATGTCCTCAAGCTGTATCAGGTTGGGTGGGGAGCATCGGCGAACTGCAATCCTCATGTCTTTCAACAGATTCAAGCCTGAACTTTGGCTGGACCGTTAAGGACATTTACCTTTTTGTTCTGGAGCCACTCCAGTGTTGTTTTGGCTGTACGTTTGGGATTGTTGTCGTGTTGGAATGTGAGCTGTGTTTGATTTTTGTATTTGAAAAGCCATGTGCCTTCTTGTATGCTTTTCTCATACATACAGTTCATACATGTACTGTATACATGTATGTATGAGAAAAACATATAGTACATGGCAGAGCTTTCTTTTAAATTATATGCAAAATATTTCCTGAACTTTCATTTCACTTTCACATTATTGAACAATCTGTGTAGATCAGTGACGAAGGGCATTATATTTTGTTCTGTTCTATTAATTGTTACATACTGTACAGATGCAGCAATGCATATTGCATGTCAAAACTCATTACCACAGCAAAATGAGTTTGCCATATTGTGGTATATATTTATGAACTATTTCAGTTCAGTTCATTCCAACATAGTTTGAGACATTTATTTTCTCTTAACATGGCTTTTCATTTTTAGTTCATATTTGATGTCTAAAGTCGACCTACAAAATATCCTGCAAAATATGTTTACTGTATTTTTAGAGCTTAATACTCAACAGGCAACAAAGCTGAGGGAAAAAAAGAAGCATATTAATGATACGTCTTGCTAATTTTTTTCAGCCTATTGAAGACTATAAATTAAAGGTGCTTGGAAACTAAATACAAATGTAATCTATTATAGTAAGGGCTAACCCACTGATGAAAAGAAATGCTTATAGTTTAAACATGCTGATAAGACACTTATATTCCAAAAAGGTGTCTTCTACAGAGGTTAGTAGTGTAATAAATTTGGGGTTGTGGGAACAGGCAGCTCCCTGGGGTTTCTAGGTAATGTTCATGGCCAGCTGGTTTCCTCATGGCCAGGTTATAAAGATAGTAGAGAATGGAATCACAGGTACTGTTTAGTGTGTTTGGGAACCATTTTAAAGGGATTTGGAGCAGTGACGTTAAAAAGCTTAGCTTGTGAAGGCAGGTGAAATGCATTTAAAGAGCATTAAAACATAGTTCCATTAGTTTATAGAAACATTTTTTATTCTTCAACAAAACCAAGATTAATGACAATGGCTTTTCAATTTCTATTTTGGAAAAGTCAGTTGGAAAAGTGACGAGTTAACTTAGGTTTGTTACCACGTTATTTGGACAATAAATTTATCAGCTGTCAAGGTCTTGAGCATTAGTAATAAAGTAATAATCGATTGTGAGATTTTTTTGACGTATTCTATAATATACAATTTATTTTCAAGTCACTTTTGATCTTGGTCTGTATTCTGGTATTTGGATTTATAAATTCTTGTCAATCTCTTGCTTTGCAAAGTGTTTAATTTTTTTTTTTTTACCATTTTGATTAAGCCATTGTGTTCTGCTCCAGGCTAAACGATTTTTGTCTTGTGAGCCTAAAGTTTAGAAGATGGAATTTTGAGCCCATAACGATTTTAATTTTTAATAATAGCCACAGTTCTATGGAATAAAATATCAATAACAATAGCACATTAAAGATATCTGCTGTGCAATGCAATCATTGCAATCTGATTTTTTTCTCGAGGTTAGAAAACATATTTACTGATTCACAACAGGGTTGGGAATGTTACATGGGAAAAGTTTGCAATGCATTGCATAGATTACCTTTAACATTGTGTCCTGGTTCATCTGCACAGAGTAAGTAGAATTCATGCCTAGAAATATTATTTCTTTAACTTTTTAAAACACTCAGCTTTCTCGTCAATGACTGAGCGCCGGCGGAGTATGGGATCCTTGGTATCTTAGGAAGCGAATGAGTGGGGTTTTAACTGTTTTTTAATATTTTTAAAATGGCAAATTCGACGGGGAAAAATCAACCTGATCAGCGACCTGATTCATGCCACCCCTTGATTTTTTGGTGGCGATAAGTAATGTTCTCTGAAAATGTTCTGCTCACAGTAATTTGCTTACATTCTGGGAAGAGCCGAGCTGTCCTCATGGAGGTTTGTGTGAGATAACTGCTACATCATAAAAAATCAATATAGCATTAAGCAGAAAAAATCAGGTGTCCTTACTTTTCTCTATTGAATATGATGAATTCCTGTCGCACTGTTTCCAGACACTGTTGCAGATGGGCAGGCTGTGGTTCGATGTGACATCAATCACAATCCCAGAAGATGCAGATAGAACACAAAACAACAAAGAAAAAGTTTTACTTTTTGCATGAACCTCTTTAAGAATGCCTAACAAAAACATCCCTCCAATTTAAAACATTGTTTTCTAAGGAGTAACAGTGTTAACGCAGGAATGGCTAGAAAGCTATGAACTATCATCAGAAATATAGAAAAAGAAACTACAGACTGAAAGAGCTTTCTACTAACCAGAGGGCATGACTCCTTAGTGGCATCTCTTGATTTGCTCTTAGCTAATCTTTTCTTCTTTTTGTGGAGTGGTTTGGACTCAAGAATCATCTCTTCCAGTTCAAACGTCGGATCACAGTTCAGACGCCCCTTCTAGTGAAAACCACATGAAGGAAATAAGGTCAGATCTTGATGAAAGAAATTATTAATTTTGGTGTTGTACAAAGAAAAAAAATGAAGCACAAATCCCTTTAATCATGAATACTTCAGAGAAACAGACATCTTACCATAGGTTTTATTAGTCCTCGGTGGCAGTACTTTGTCTGCAAATTTCATTCATCAGAGGAAAAGTGATTTTAATGAAAGTTCCTCTGCTACTTAGCTGCAATTACAATTATATGAGTTGAAAGACTAGAACTTGAATATATCATTATCGTCTTGTTTTTTTTTCCTGCTACAAAAAAACTGATTCACGTATGAGGAAGACTTGTTAGAACTAATTTTTTAGAGAGGAAATGTTGTTGCAAAATGGCAGTGCTGACCAATGTAAATGAAATTGCCCACTGAATTTGCCAATACAGCTGACTGATGGACACAGAAAATATGAAGATAATCTATTACAGTTCTCATCACAGTTGATAATCCACCTAAACTGATGTGAACCAGTAATATCAGGATTGTTCAGCCAAACCTGCATTCTGAAAGAGTAACTTTTGTGGTGGAGGCAACAAAAAGGCCCTGTAGATCTACATTTGATTGAGCTATAATTCCTACCACTGACACTAAGCAGGTGTGATCCTGGCCAGTACCTGCATGGGAGACCTCCTGGGAAAGCTAAGGTTGCTGCTGGAAGTGGTATTAGTGGGGCCAGTTGGGGGTGCTCACCTTGTGGTCTGTGTCAGTCCTAATTCCCCAGCATAGTGATGGAGACTTTTACTGTACAAATTCACCATCCTTCAGATGATTTGTAAAATCAAGGTCCTGGCTCTCTGTGGTAATTAAAAGTCCCAGGGCATTTCTTGAAAAGAGTAGGGGTGTTAACCTGGTGTCCTGGACACATTTCCCATTGACCTTTAACAGTCATGGCCTCCAAATAATCCCCATCTATGAATTGGCTTCATCACTCTGCTTTCTACCCACTGATAGCTGATGTGGCAGTTACATTAATTACATTTTAAAATTTTCATGTTTCAGAATTTCATTTCCAACTGCTTTGATAGAGCTCATACTGACACAATAAATTGCAATAGACAATATACTGAAGATAATAATAAATTGCAAACACATTCTAGCATTTTCCTGTGCATATATGGTGAGCACCTTCAGAAATGTAACAATGATTAAACATACAGTGCTACCAATTTAACCAGTTTTGAGATACCAATGAATATATTTTAGGAGTGTCATTGTACCTAGAGAAAATGTAGGACCTTACATTTTCTTGTCATGTTTTTCCACTCCTAATTTCCTCTACATTTGTACGAAATGACAACATCATGTCCCAACATCAGTAGAGACTGCATTTAAGTGTCAGCTGCAGTCAGCCAACATCAATGATCTTTCAGTTGCTTTAAGAATTAAAGGAGCAATAAGCTTCATTCAAATCTTAAAGCATCTCTGTGGTTTCTATGCAGTGTTTTTCTCTGTCTGTGCTCTGCTCATCATGCTTTTGTGCAAGCTGATATTCAACACAACAGGTAATAATCATTTATGCAAAGATGGATATGTAGAGTACACTTTAATATAGCTAGTATTGTAAAAACTTCACAGATATCACTGATATATAAGACTAATATAAGAAACAGTTAATTCTAAAATATTTTAAATATTACTTCAAATGAAAAGTGCCAATTCTTATGCGTGACGTAGTGAGGGTAATTTGTGATCTGGAATTCTGAATAAGAGCTAAGCTATCACAACGACTTAAAATGTATGACAGCTTTATAAATCAATGCAAATGTGTGCTGTTAAATATAAACTAAAAAACATTAACATAATGTTTTGTTTTGGTATTATAACATACTGGCATCTTATTTATCATCAGAAAATGGGAATGTAAAAAAAGTATGTTCCATTATTGACATTGTGTATAGATTTGGACAGAGTTAAAATCTGAATTTCTCATCATTTTATTGTTCTTCTGGTGCTGTTAAAATAGACTGAAAAGCTATGAGTCCTCACTCCTTGGACCTGCATGTCTGCTGTAGTGCAGTTATCTATATCTCCGGTTCTGGAAAGGCTCGGATTATGCACAAGTGTTCAGTAATTTATTGGAGCTAAAAATCAAGTTCAAATAAACCAATATAAAAAATCAAGTATTTTTCAACTGAATAATTGAGAGTTGGGAAGGATAAAAACCATATGACCCTGCGGTTCAGAAGGACCAAGGCTGCTTTCATTGTCTTCTGGGTAATAGAGGAAAATCACAGCAAGTTATTTCTCCCAAAGCCATGTCATTCTGAGATTGAAAAGCTCAGAGAATCTGTTAGTCATCACAAATCATCAGAAACCAGCCCTTCTTCGCTCCTGCACCTCATAGATGGATTCAATTGACGTACTATTTAAAACATCTCCACCATATGTCCAAATTGAAATTTTATAGAAATCCATTAACACACTGAGGTAAAAAGATTGACCTCTGTGGATGAAATAGTACATCTGAAATTGATCAGCAAGCACTTACATTTGGAACAAAGCCTGGAGCTACCGCCTTCTCTAGAACTGCGTCCCAGTTTACATCAGCCAGATAAGGGGAGCTCTGGATATCTGTAACACTTGAAAGGCGGCATTCTGGGTCTTTGGCAAGAAGCTAAGGAAGACAAAACAATAAGATCAGCAATTCTATCATTAGAAGAGGAGATCAGTAGGGAAAGAAAACCGCACCTCGAATATATATTAGGTGTCTGCATTGAGAACGGACACAGAAAAAAACTCTGGCTATGGAACTAATTTGTCTTTTTTATCTCAGCATTTAGAAAATACACTGCCGCTGAGCAGCATATGTTAGTTATTTAGCAAACTGGAACTCCTCCAATTGAAAATGTGAACTGGCTCAATCAGATAAAAGGTGTTAAAATGTTCGCCACTTTGTTATTTGGTGCATGTGGTCTTTAAAACCTTATTTCCCATAGGGTATGTGGTGAACATTAATATATGATATAAGGCTGATTCTTGAGAGCATAAATGTATGATGCTTGTTTGCTGGATCAGCTTTTTAAAAAAGGAAATTCCCTCCTTAAATACAGATAAAATATCTGACTATTCCTTCTTGCAGAACTGAATCCTTAACTACATAAGCCCTTTAGAAGATTTAGATTTCAAGCTTCCCAAACATACAGTATGTGTTTCACAGACAAACATAAAATTGTTAACCCTGTACCAGTAATGGCAAAATTTAAATAGTATTGTATGTACACCGTGGTCTCGTCTTACCCTATTCTCCTCACATTTATTGTTTCGACACTATGATAATGTACTATGACTATGATGTGCATTATATGTATTTTTAATTTGTTTTCTATACCACTTCACAAAAAATTGTTTCCTCTCTTGGGGACTGTCCCTGTGTTAATGTTATTGCTTTATTTGAATGAACTTTGCTATAAGTGCTTCAGTCCTTCAGTGTATTGAGTAGTTTTTTACTGCTGAAACACTTCAGCTTCAGTGCTGTTATCTGGTTATAAAATCGCTTTAAATAAGTAATGCAAACTTTTTCATTTCAAATATTTGTGGAACTCTATTCTTATTCAAGTTCCCTAACATAAAGATGTCAAAACTGCATTTAGAGAAGGCACAGATGATGCAGAAATTTCATTTCTTACTATTATACTGCAAAGTAAACCTTTTATGCCTTGTCACTGTTTTTGCAGTGCAGTTAGTGGAAAAGTAGAAATGTTTCTTTAAACTGAGATGGGATGATGCACAAAATAATTATAAATATATAGTTACCAGAAAACTCCTGCAGAGCCACAGTGTCTAATTTGCTGTGCTACATGACTGCCCAACTGACTCCACTGAATCAATTATTGACATAATTAATTATCATAATAATATCAATGTTTCCAAGCCTTTAGCTTTGGAGGAAAAAATATTATTTGCTTCTCCAGGAGATAATATTATATTGTTGTAGTATATCATGAAAAATATGAGGAAAATTACACGTGTGCATGAATAAATAAATAAATTAAACGTGTGCATGAATATTCTCTGTTGAAGAGCAAAATAAATGAGAAAAAAAGAGCTCATCTTTTGTATCACAAGGAAAATTACAGGGTCTGTTTATCTTTACATATCAGAAAACAAGGGTTCTCAGAAAAGTGAAGCCTGGAAGTAAGATTTGGTTGCTAATGAACAGAATACATGAGTGATTTGAAGAAAATTGTAATGTAAGGCACACCAACATTTACTTTCAATAGTGTAAAAGACAGAAAAATGAATTTCGTAGAGTTTACTGCCTCATTATGTATGCCATTGATTCCATATGATCTGACAGCCACCAATTAAAGGGACACAACTTTATGGATTATGGTGCCAGTGTTGTTGTACTTTAAACAAAACCTTAACAGAGCCTCGAAATAGTATTCACCGTCTTCCATTCATATACCATTTTGTTGAATTGTCAATAATGTATACACAATTTGTATACATATATATCTTGTAAATATTTTTAACCAAAATGTGGTACATTTATGTCATACTTCAGAAGAGGGATGAAGAGCTGCCATCATGGTATTTTTGTTGCAGTGTTGTGAAAATGCATTGTTCTGTTTGGACATATTGCTATTTTTTAAGTACTAAGCTTTTAAGAATGAAATTCTGGGGAGAAGGGGTTTCACCAAGGGTTACTGCACTCATCATTAAATAGGCTACAGATAAGTAAGGTTCAACTGTCATTTATAATACTGTGCATATTGTACACACTGAAGAAGCATGAACAAATTCGGCTGCTCAACAACATTTCTGTCCACGAGAAAAACAAAAAAATACATTTAATTCCCTTAAATATGTTATGAAAACACATTAAGCAAATTAAATCCCTTAGAAAATATCACGGAACCTCTGTCATTACCTATTTCACAGTTAAAAATACATTAAAAATGAACAGAAAGATTTAATTGCTTTATCTCTCTGATTTAAGCACACAGAGGACATACTGTACAGTATATTTCTCTTATCAAAAGCCACAGTAGATGACAAACCATACTATTCTGCTGCTGACCTTTCTTAGCAATGACACCATGCCTTTGGACCAAGTGGAAGAGTAGTGAACTCTTTCTGCTCGGAACATGTTGACAATTTCTTCCACTGGAGTACTGGAGTGGATATCGTATGGTCGCTAGTGAAGGAAACAAAGGAAATCTGAATTATCAAATGTGGTATCAAGGGATATAAGCAAATCAATGTATATCTAAAGTTTATGGCATTTCTGAGACCATAGTCAGAACCACAAATTTGTTTTTTGTGTCTGTTTTGCAGCCTAAGAAATAAATTCACTTTATTGTCAATTAAAGAGTCAGTGTGTTAGTTTTAAACATTGTCAAAATTTGGAGGTTACTAGATCCTGTAGAATCAAAACAAGCTTGGTAAACCAGCCTGGATCACAATGCACAATAAGTGCCTTCAATGTAAATTTAAAGTGAAGGTCAATTGTCACCAAAATATAAAAACAAAAAAAAAAATACAACATTTTAATGAAAGGGTCCAACCAGAGTTTTTTGTTTTTAAAGGAGTTCATCATAAGGTAAAATTCAGAGAAATGTAATGTCTTCCAAAATACTGACTATTTCTTGAGATGATTAATTTCATTATGAATGGATAAATACTCACTTTTTGTAATTATTTCCTTGTTATGTAACATTTTCTAAACTGGACATTGATAATAATATACCGTATATATTTTAAAGGTTGGAGGCAAGAGGCTTTTTCGCCAATGCTTATTAAACCATCAGAAGGCCACTGAGCACGGCCATTAGTAAGAGTTTCAAGGAACCAAAAATAATGTTCATAAAACCGTGAAGCTGCAATTTTGATTTCTTTCCTTCCTACTGCTTCTTTTCAAGCTGGCTTTGCAATTCAAATACTGCTGTGGGAAACCTCCTTTGCCGCCTTTATGCACATCAGAAAGAAATGAATGAAAAATATCATTTCTATGCAAAAGTTGTCCTGAAAGCTTAATAAAATTAAAATTAGATGTACAAAATGAAACTTAAAAAATAACCATACAATTTTGTATTTTACCAATGAAACATAAAAGGGTGTATACACATGTTCACTAGGGTGTATACCTGTTTTTTTGACACTATAAATACATGTAGAACATAGTACAGGCCAAAGATTTGAGAGTTGTTAATGAAGAAACATGCAGGACAATTGTCCAAAGCTTGCTTCTCAGGTGTCCAGAAGTCAAGCAGGGAGCAAGAGAAACAGCCAGATCACATCATGAAGGAGAAATATTTCCCTTGTTGTGGTACTGTTGGATGAATTCTAATTTTTCAGAAAAATTCTAGAAATTATGCAAATCATGCGAAATTTGCAAAGATATTGTGACTCTTAGCAGTGCCTGGAATTCCATAAATTAAGAGCACCTTGCAAGTCCTATGACTAGAAAATCTCAAATATCCTGAACCATCATTTAAACAATTTGTTAATTGAATTTCTGTCTACAAATACATATTTTGATCATAACTTGTGTGTTGTTTATGCTTCTAATGATACCTCGTGGCTCTCATTATTAAACTATGCAGAGGAATGAAGGGCTTTCCTCACAGTGTTCCATTTAACAGATGCATTCCACACTTGTATCCCATATGCAACTTTGACTGCAAGAAGTAATGCATTAATATGGGTGGTAACAGAGGTACTGTATTACTGCATCTATGCTATTTATCCAAGCCATTCAACTAACAGTAAAAAATAAGCTACAATACAGAAAACAACTGAAAGAAACATTACATTTGACCAAATATTCTTACAGCTGAACTGCTGTGTGATTGGCCTTTCATTGGCCTTTCGGGTTTGCTAGATAATTGTGGCATTAGTTCAAAATACACGGCTGGAACAGAGAATATAAAACTCATGACACAAGGTCAGAAAGGTAACAGGGAATGGCTTCTACAATGATTTGATCTCAGAATGAGAGAAATTGGCCTCGATACTCTCTAAACACAAAGTATGTGTACATACAGTAGAGTATATAGAACAGTACTGTATACCTACCCATATATATATATGTGTATGTGATATTGTATATTTATGCTGTGATATCTGTATCACAAAACAACAAAATATGTTGAATGTAATATACCATATGGGTATACCGTGCACATGGAAAGACGTAAACTGTACAGGAAGAGCGGATGGTTCCATATCACTTACTCCAGGTTTACTTTTTGGTTCAGAAAATGGTGTTTGCTGTTTCTAGAAGGTGTTTATAAAAACAAGTTTCTTCTACAACATTTTCATATATTTCATCATTGCACAGAACCTTGCAATCAAAGGTGATTAAATCAATCATCCCCTTCAGGTGGTCCTTTGACTTGAGCCCTGGGTGTGTTCTTCCAAAACAATGATAAGGAGAGCAAGGACAGTTTTCTTGATGTGTTGCTTTACATGAATTAAGAAGTTACTGTATATCCTAATCCAACTTTCAATTATCCAGAATTACTACACAATATCGGGACGCTAATCTTTGTTATACAGAATTAACAAATAGGCAGAAAATGCAGTATTGAAATTGATTTAAAATATGCTGTCATACATTTCCTGATGTCTTAGTATCTGTTGTGTACCTTCTGCTAACCCTTGCAGAGAGGATTCGAACTAAAGGGAACCAAAATGGGTCTTACCCAGCCTCGCAGTAGTTCATAAGCTGTGATCCCAAGTGACCACCAGTCTACAGGATAAGAGTAACCAGGCCCCCCTTCCACGAAGGAGTGAAATACCTCAGGTGCTATATGAGAAAGAATAGACACCAGGACACATTTGATTCAAAATATCTTTGAAGTTTCTCATCTGTATACATTAAATCAATAATATGTAGATTAGTAAGTTCTTACTTACTGTAAGAACAAGGAATACTGTAATACTATATCAAAATACTCTAAAGGTAGCAGACTTCTTTCAAAAAATTATTTTTCTCTCATCATTGTTTTTAGAATGCCCGTGTTTAAGGCTGAGTTCTACATAAATATTTTGGTTCTAACAGTTACAATTTAAATTCAAGCCATTGTCTTAGGACAGTATACCATACTATCACGCCAGTTCACATTTCACTTACTGTACATACACTGATGTTCACTTGGCTTAAAATGAAACCATACTGTATGTGAAAACCTAAATTCTGCCACATCAATTATTTTACAGCGTCTTTTTAGATATCCACAAAAAGTGCAGCCGAAATGGATAGATTTATTTCTGTTTTCCATATCTACTCCACTTCTTTGCTAAACTGAAACACTTATCAGATTTATTTTAAATGGGAAATCCAGTGTGGAACATAAATCAAACACAAGCTACAGTGTACCAATCTGCAGGTCACAACTTAGTTTTTGATTGGTTGGAGTGGTGAGCTACATCTGCGCCTGAGCTGCAAAGGAACAAAGCAGAGGTTAACTTCATGCTGAAAAGTTCCAAAACAGAAAGCAAGGTGTTTTGGATGCCAAGCCACACACCTGAAGAAACATCTGAAAACATCCTTGGTTTGGAGGTGTGGGAAGTCAGAATGCCTGAGGCAAAGGAAAGGGAAGTAGGGAAATACCAACAGAACATCCATGAAGAATTCACACTGATCCCTGGGTTGCATTGATGGCGCTGAGCAGTTCAGCTCCCTTGATCTGAGGAGCAGATCCTGATGGCTAGAACTCATTCCCGAAGACAAATCAAAGATGCTTTCTCACCAGTTAAGTGACTGTGGCAGTTCTGGCTTGTGGAACTTGAGGAAACTGTAGGAGGTGTTTAAATGCATTAGCGCTGCAGAGTTTGAAATTGCACCCGAATATTTTTGGACCACTAGGTAGCTTTCTTCCCTCTGGAGAAGATTTTCTGAACTGTTGCCCCAGTGTGGTGCCTGGAGAAACAGACGTAGTAGGTGCCATTCTTTGAGACATTAAACCAAGTTTTTGAATGCTTGGCAATTAAAGATCAATTGGCATTGTTTATACAAGAGTGATAGTTTCAGTTTCCTGGCTAAATTTCACTTTGGGCTTACAAAATCTGATCTAGCTAAAATTTCACCTTGTCAATTGGAGAAGCAGTTTCTTACTTATTCACTTGATCTTTTTTGTATGTGTGTTGCTGACACTTAATAAGCCAAGTGGGTGCTGTGCTTCAGTGGTGGCTGAATTGTAAAGCACTTTCATATGCAAAGTTCTCTCATATGTAAAGTGCTTTAGATTCCTCTGGGATAAAAAGTGCTATATAAATGCAAGGGATTATTATACATGCATAGTAACACATTCTGGAAAATTTATTAGCAACTAAAAATATAAAATAAAAACCATAAATCTGTACAATAAAAATGTACTTCATGTGGAGTGCTTTTGTTTTTCATAATTAACAGTACGCATTTGTGAAATAGGTTGGTTTAATTTACACTTCATTTAAGTTTAAATGGCAATTCAACTGGAAAATCCTGTTCATGTGAATTTTATGTTTTTTTCACAGAAGCAAAGAGGATGAAATGGAAAAGACTGAATTTTGTTTCCAGCAAAATAGAGATTTTCACAATTCAGATATTTGTGGAGTTGGAAAAATCAATGTACTATAAGTTTGATGGTGGTTGGCCATCCGCACTTGAGTGATGGTTCCAACATTTTGACATCTTATTTGACTTGTAAAAAAATGTTTGGCAGTGGTGTATGGCAGTGACTTTGTAGTCTACTAGTACTACAGAAAAGTATTTTTGTGGCTCACGAGGCCATTTCAAGACTATTGATCTGTGAACCAGACAGTGTGGCATTATGGATGTTTCTGGAGCGTATAATTATCATACAATGACATACTGTACAATACACCTTCCTAACTGTAGTTTTATATGGTTTGTATTTGACTCTTTTCTCATTCAGTACCTCTCTTCCCTATTGAATAAAAGTGATGGAAACATATACTGGGGCACAAGGTTTTAAAAATTAACCTGACAAATGCAACCTTGCTGGTAACACTGCATACATTATATAGAGACTAGCCACAGTGGCCACTGCTGTGTGGCAGTGAAACTTTGGTCAACCTTATTTCTATCCAGGGACTGAGCAAAGTATATTTCCAGACTAGCCTCTCAGGAGCCTCCAGTCTTCCCATTTTATTGGTGACCATAAGTGAAGGGTACTCTAGTACCTCCAGTATACACACAATTCCTTCTTCAGAGAGGTCTTCACAACATTTCATTTTCCTGATGCCGTTGACAGAACTGTGTGTTTTAAACTTTGATTCTGAAACCTGAGAAACAAAAGTGACACAGATTGAAACATATCTTTCTAAATGTTCAGATTTTGGACTGTCTCAATTACCTGCCTGGCTGGGTACTATCATAGAACATCTCTCCGTTTATATTGTGAGCTACTTTCTCAAAAAACAGTTTACAGAGTTTGTCATAAATTCTCAGTGTTTCATTTCATATGGAAAGAGATTTTCAAAAAGAAAATAAAAAAATAGACACCAAAATGTATCTTGTCCTCTCTGTTCTAAAAAATTCTCAAAGACCAGATATAGCCCCAGTCAATCACTTCTGTTACCATAAATGTTAAGACAAACACACAACATATTTAACCACAGGATATAAGGATGTAAAAGGGCACACAAATCAGTTACAGAATACACATTCTAATGTTCAGCTGTCTGAGAAAATCAAAAAGTTAGTTAAACAGCTAAACTAGTTACTGCCAGAGTCAAAGGAAGCTTGCCTGACAGATTCAAATAGGTTGTCTGCCTGTAATCTACAATGGTATTTAATTATAGATATCCTGAAATATACCATATAATATATTGTTATATATATAATAGAAATTATATTTCTTTTCTAAATCATATAATTGCAGTTACTAGTGCCAACCACACAGAAATGATATACTGTAGAATTGGACATATGTAAAGGCGGCATTGTTTTATATGATTAGAACAGAGACAAACTAGATAAACTAATTATAAATGTTTGGTTTCCATGTTACCTCGGAAATTGTACATATGGAAACTTTCTAACTACAGCCAGATGCTGATAAGAGCATACTACTTCTTAATTAGCAGGCAAGCAGATTGCATTTTTGGCTTATGCCTTACTTAAGGCATATCACTATCCCAATTCTAAACTGTACAATGACTTTAAATAGCTTTCATAGGTATAATGGAGGCAATATTTACATCAATTTAACATCTTATACAATAACATATCATGTTTAATTTGAAAAGCAGTAGTCTGTTTTCAAATTTATGTGAGGTTTTAAGGTTATGTCCTTAAAAAGAAACTTGTTAAGCACAGACCTGCAATCAAAATGAAAGATTAAAGACAGCTGTGCACTTTTTTTCTCTCCCACATTTTTCTATTCACATTTTCATTTTGCATTATCCTGGCCCTAAAAGCACATGAAATGTGTCCATTGTGATAATATCATGCAACAGAGTAATTTGTTTATATCAATTTAGACATTTTACATTATAATTCTGTTTAGCAGTATAGCAAATTATTTATAGGGTGGTCCTATTTATATTTTAAATACTCCATTTTCAGAAACTAGCAACATCCATCACATCTACCAATAATGTGCAAACAACAAATACAAAAATGAAAACACAAAATCATCGGTGTGGTCTGGACAATTTCCATATTTGTTTGGACTGTATTTGCGGTAACAGCTTTGACCTGGTATGTCTCTAATGTATTTCTTGTATAAATATGGTATATTTTCACACAGCCGTGCATTTCAGATGGTCTTTATTATTTTCTAGGGATTTCTCCTCAGGCTTATTTTCAACTTCTGTCTAATAAATTCTGCTGGGTTCAAATTAGGGGATTGAGCTAGCCATTTCATGTTGCCCATAATCTTCTTCTTAATAAATGCGTTTAAGGACCAAAGGAGTCCTTCTATCACTATTTCCAGCTTTAATCTATATAAAGGAAAATAAACATGCAAATGAGTGGCTACCATGTGGCCAATTATGTGGCTCTCTAGTGGCTTAATTTGACACAGACATCTTATAATATAATTGTGGGTGTTATAGTCTTCATATGTTGTCGTTATACTCAGGATTCTCTTTGCTTTTTTATTGCTTTTAAACAGTGTCTTGATGAGCGTGTACCCAGATCCCTTTCATGTGTAGCTCTCTGTAGCTTAGAAACATCCTGGTGATACAGTATGTACAGTATAGTGTAAACGCCTATGAGCTGCATAGGTCGCTTTGCGCTGATTAATGTTAAGTTTAATTTGCAAATTAGACAAAATCTTGTCCCAAACCATGCTTTTGTCTAAAGCTATTTGCCATTCCCCTGCTGCTTATTCTGTGTTTGTCTCCTTCCTTCTTCTCTTTCAGCATTTCAGTCAAACCCTTTATAAGGTGGAGAAGAGACATTGGGAAACTCACCTGGCTGAGAATAACAACAGCCTATCCAAAAGGATGGGACTGACAGACTCCCCCAAATGAAGGATGAGCTGGGGTGCTTCTACATGGGTGAAGATGGGATAGAGGGAGAGATGTAAAAATGAACTTTTCAAATGAGTAGGAAAGAAGCATGATACTGTATGTGTGGGTAGGAAGAAGTGGATCAGATTTTGCATTCCCCCCTAACTTGTTCAAAAGTTTAAAATATAGATCAGGAACGGCTACAGGCTTAAATCTTTCTAAATCCATACGGTCTCACTGTTTGCAATGCATTTTGGAATCAGCTCTTTTGTTATCATGATTTTATCAGGGCCTGAAGCAAGACTGATTAGTTTAAAACTTCCTGGTGCAGTTCTTAAGAGCAGGTGTTAAGTTTGTAATTTTCTAAACTGTGACTATCATTCTCATTTTAAGAGACAGTTGCAATGACCTAGCAAGGAGTCT